GGAGTTGCAAACTCCGCCTTGCGACTGTTCTGTATGTCAAGAGTTTAGACTGGATTTGAAACTTGGGACCGTACTGGACTCCAAAACGGCAGTTCGAAATGCATTTACAAACTGCTTTGAAATTCGTGACTGCGCCCTAGTTAACCCTTTTTTTTTATGGGAACAAGTCTCCAATCTATTCGTGGGGAGCAGCACGTGCTGGGAATCGGGCCCAGTGTCCCATTTGGAAATTTACATAGACTTTGAAACTTGAGATACCGGGGCCATTACCCTGCTTTGGCTAAGAAAAAATGGAGCTACTTAGGAACTTACTGCGACAAACTTCAGAAATAGACAAAATTCAGAAAACGACTCAAGAATCTCCCATCAGTCCTCTTTACCTCATTGGCAAGACTTACTGCAGCAGAGCCACCATCTCCGCTGCTCCTATACCCTATTTCTATCCTACCAGCTAGCCCCTTCACTAGTAGGACGCTTGATATCCCACCATCTTTGTTTTTTGAAAACCCCACCCACCCTTGTTTTTTGTTTTTTGGAACAAAAACATATGCACAATTCAGAAAAAGGCTCAGACACCACCAATCAATCCCATGTACCCAACTCCGGCAAGGCTTACTGCAGCAGAGCCACCATCTCCACTGCTGCTATGCCCTATTCCCATCCTGCCAGCTAGCCCCCTCACTAGTAGGACGCGGGCTATCCTTCTCTCACTCACCTCGATCCCTTTTTTGCGATACCGGGGCCATTACCCGGCTTTGGCTGAGAAACTTGCAGTAATTCGGGAGGTATGGGAATAGACCGCAGAGGTCCTACAAATGTTCCAAAACCCTTGAAATCCCTAACAAAACCTTTCAAAGTTCTCCAACATTGTCTTACTCCCTGTCGAGCTCTTCCAGCCTTCCAGGCCTCACACCCCCACATCCTCCTAGGTTACAGGGCAACACAACTCATCCCAGCTCCGACCAGCGTCGTCCCAGCAACAACCCTTGGTTGTCCCGTGGAATGCCCACCCCAAACCACCCCCAGAACTCTCTACCAGGCCTCACGCTCCTGCATCAGCAGGTTATAGGGCAACACCCCAGCACCGGCCAGCTTCGTTCTGGAATCGAACAGCCGCAGATCACTGAGTATAACAGCATCGGAGCCACCAAAAACGAGTTGCTAGCAGTCCCCAGAGTCCTAAAACATTCTTAAGAACACCACGGCCAACCTTTTTTTCCAGAAACATATTCAGAAATAAAAAAAGATGAAAAAACAGAGAGACGAAAATCAGAAATAGAACCACCAACCATCCAACTCAAACCCTTGCTATAGATGAGAAACCGCGGCTCAGGCTTTCAATCCTTTTTTTTTTTTTTTTTTTTTTGAAAAATTAGCCGCTAAAGTGTTAGTGGTGCTGATGAGGGCAGACACCACTACCAATCCTCGTACCAGAAATCGCCAGTTCTCACACCCCCTAGCTAGGGTTACAAGGCAACACAAACTGCCACAACACCAAACTAACTGTTTTCTGACGGGCAGGAACTGCCTTCCTCCCTCGACTACTTCCTTAGCTGCAAACCCCCTTGTAGCGGCTTACAGGGTCACCGCCCCGGCATCAGCTACGTTGAAAAAGGTGGTTATGCCTTCCATCCTCGACATAACTCCAATGGCCTCAAGCTCCTCTTGGTCACAGAGCCATTGATCTAGCACCGTCCAAAGTCGCCCCATTCCACCCTTCTAGTAGACTTAATACCCTAAGCAACCCTTCCTCTACTGCACGAGTCTACCCAAAATTCCTCCAAACCATACTTCCGACGTAAACCTTCCCATTTAAGTAAACCAAAAGGACAAAGGACAAGAACTAGAATCATTGACAATCCATCTCCTTCCCTCACCACAGATGAAGGACACGCCTCCCAAACTTTCATTCCTCGTACCAAAAATCATCAGATCTCATATCCCCCTGCTAGGGTTACAAGGCTATACAAACTGCCCCAGCATCGACCTAATTGTTTCTGATGGACAAAGAGTGTCTTCCCCCTCGATAACTCCCTTAATTGTGAAGCCCCTTAAAAGGTTTCAGGGTCACCGCTCTGGCAACAACTACGTCGGGCGAGATGGTTATGCCTTCCACCCTCGGCATAACTTCGACGGTCTCAAGCTCCCCCTGGTCACAGAGCAAATGCTCCAGCACCGGCCAATGTCGTCCCACCCCACCCTTCTAATAATAGATTTACCGCCCTGAACTGTCGATCCCTCCTATGAGTGAACCCCCCCACTTCCCACCTGCCTCTAATTTGACCTTCCCCCTTTCGTTTGCAAGACCACCTCCTAGCAAATCTGAACTACAACTTTCGAAAACCTACAACAAATTTAGAATTAGATCAAAGATGGGTAAACGTGGGACATCAATTCCACTTTGAGAAAATCAATTTGTAACCTTGTGTAATTCAAACTTGAGTAATCATTTATCGGAATCAGAGCAAAAATCCGATTTACGAATTCTAGATTATGAATCTTCCTCAGAACGTACGAAATTAAGATGAGAAATCATACTTAGAAAATACGAATTTCAGATTAAGAATCTTGCTCAACTATGTTTCCCGCTGGCCGCGGTCGACGGCCTAGGCCGGGGCCCCCCCGCCGCAGCCGGTCCGACTGAGTTCTTTTGGCCGAGGCCTCGGCCAATCAGGTGGGCGGTTTCTGGAGCGGGGAGCGGGTTTGAGGTGGGGGGGTGGGGGGGCACCCCCTCAAAGCGACAGAGCGTCAAAAAAATAAAAAACGGGGAGGTCATGTACATGGCCCTGGAAGGGTGGGCCAGGAAAATTCGTGCGTCCCCCGCGTGCAGGTTCGCCGATGCGGGGTCGCAGGGAAGAGGGTCTGGAACACTAGAAAAATAAAAAAAAAATATTTGACCCCTGCGGGGGTGGCCCAACGGGGGTTGGATGAGGGCCGGGTTAGGGCGGCCCGTGCGGCCAGGTCTGGTCGAAGCTGGGCGGGCCTGCAGATGGCAGACCCCAGGCAGCTCAGGGCCTTAGGCAGGCGTCGATTTCATTTGTGAGGGTGATGATAGTTCGTGACATATTTTGAAACAACACATCCATGACAGTCATAGGTCAGACCCTAGTTGGCATACCAAAGTCACAACACATTCACAATCAATCACAATGCGGCCAACCATAAGTTATAAACAATGTTAACAGGCAAGTGTGTCATAATGTGTGTTCACTCATCAGACTGGTGGAAGTTTGTGTAAAAACACATTCATTAGCACATCATCCCTATTTGGCATCTGAAATTAACAACATATTCATAATGGAGGCATCCATGACATGCAGGTGCGTGGCATCGGAGAAGCACATAATTTGCAACAATTTTAACAACAAACCAGAAACCACTCACCAAACAACAGCGACTCAGATGTAAAACCAAGGTTGGAAGAGGAACACGAACAAGAGCAAATAAATGACAAAGCATTTCAATGGAAATGCGTATGTACGAGGCTGAAGCCAAAAACTGGACCCGTCGTGTCTACCGTACAACCGAGTAGCAAAAAAAAAAACAAAAAAAAACCCTAATGTCCACATAATGCCGTCATCTCCATGGAACAACATCGACATAAATATGCAACAACCCTGCCGACAGAGCATCCAACCACGCAAAAAACAAACAAACTAATGAAATAAAAAAAAAACACGGACGTCGTCATCTCCCTCTTGAACGCGCGCGGCCTCTCCCGGAGGACAAGCGGCCAAGCGGTCCTTTCCGGCGCCCTCCTCTCCCTCCGGCACCTGTGCCCTGTGCCCCACTGAGGTATGTCGCCTGTGCTGCAGCGGCTGCCTCGGCCACCTGTGCCCTGCGTCTGCGAACCACAGACTCGATCGGCTCGGACTCTGTGTCTGCGTCCTCGTCCTTCGCCGCCTGGCCACCGGCGATCTCTGCCGCGAGTCGACCCTCAACCTCCGAGTGACAGCGGTGTCGTCTCGTCCCGGGACGCATCAACAACTCCTCCTCGCCCGATGTGTACTGTTGTCCCCGCAGCATGTCCCGGATGATGTCCGTGGATGTCCGTGCGGCCTGGGGGACCAATGATCTTCTCGCCGCCGCTACTGACAAACCGAGCATGCGGCCTGCCATCTGCAGGCTCGGACGTCCGGACCCACTCTCCGCAGCCTGCGTCTGAACTGGCGTACGTCCCTCGAAGACGCCCCTCCCGGCGTCGTAATTTGCCCGCAACCGGTCCCCGACCCGACGATGAGCTGACCATCTGCCACCCACACCACCTCGGACTGGCGGCACGGAACCGCCACTGTGCGCAACTCCGGGTGCCGCCATCTAGTCCTCGGCATCGACGCCAACCTCTAGAGCCCGTGCGGGCGGTGGAGGCATCGATCCTGCACTGTCTCTGGCGCCCTCGCTGCGTCTGCCGGACCCCACCTCACCCGCTCCGGACTCCTTCCCTCTCACGCCGCTGAGCGACGAACCCGACCATCGAGGGCTCTGCACTACGAACGGCGGCGGTGAATATTCCCCTGCAGGGGGCCGCCTCTTGCCGCTCCTGTGGCCCGTGTGTGCGAAAGGGTCATCCATCAACGCTTGTGCCAAAGCGTCGGCGTCGAAGAAAGCGTGTGCTAAGTCGTCAGGACGCAAGGAAGCTACTGTAGGGTCCCTCAACACCAAGGCGAGCCTATACACATCATCCTCGAGACCGTGGTCGTCATCATCATCTCCATCCGGTCCATCGTCTCCCCGAACACCCGCGGTATCCCCATCTCCACTGGGTCCATCCTCTCCCCTGCCACACACGGTGGCACCCTGTCCCTCATCACCCGCGGTCTCGCCGTCGCCACGTCCTCCACGAGGGGACCCACCGCCCACGGCAACATCCTGCCCCTCATCACCCGCGGTCTCCCCGTCACCGCGTTGTCCACCACCTGACCCACCACCCGCGGCGACATCCTGTCCCTCATCAACGAACCCCCCTTGAACTGCCTCCTCAGGGACACCCGAGTCGTCGGCGTCACGGCCTCCCCCCCCCTCCTGTCTCCAACTCCCTCTGCCGACGCAGCTCCTCAAGATACGTGAACCGACCCTCCCATCCTGTCAAATTCTGCAGCCGCTCCTCCTCCTCTCGGTCCAAACGGGCATCCCGCTCCTCCTCAGTCTCAACACCTCCCCGCACAACGTCCTCGTCGGTGCGCACCTCCGATGGTGAGGCATGTCGACGTCCCTCGGCACTGAAATCTCCCAAGCCCCCACCAAGTCCTCCGACGTCAAAGTCGTGTGTGCGGAGCTCCGACGGCTAGCAAGGGCGAATACCGGCGTTGGAAGGAGTCCTCCCCCCCCCACGATCCTTGCCGTCATGTGTCCGGTCTCTGCCTGCTGTCGACGCCAACCTCTCCGAACGCCTAAGTGCCTCGGGCTGTGCAGTGCTCGGATGATGGGAGGGAGAGAAGCGACGATCGCGAAGGTGCACCTCCTCATCCTCGGTCTCCTCCTCGGCCTCGCTGTCGCTCCTAACCTCCCAACGCCTGCCTGTCTGCTGAAGGCCTCCCCGTGGCTCCTGCCCCCCCGAGTCGTCGACGCTAACCTCCGCATGCGAACGTCCTCCACGACGACCATCGGCTTTGCTGCTGCCACTCGCCTGTCCGGTCGACGGCAGATCACCAGTGATAACTGATGTGAATGAAGCCATGCCGTCACTTCCCCCACCGTAAATGAAGTACACCCGCTCAGTTGTCGCGTCGCCACTCAGCGGGGCGTCATCATCGTCTGTCCACTCGTCGTCGATGTCGTCGTCTCCCGCATCAGCGTCCGCATCATCCCCACACTCCGACCACGGTCGCAGCTCCGTCGCCCTCTTGCCGAACACCTCCTGAACGGAATGAGCTCTAGACGGTCGGCTGCCATGGAAAGCGACAATCTGCCGCTAGATGTCAAGCTCATGCATGCCAGCAGGTCGCGCTCCCCACACCTCGGGCTCCACGTCTCCCTCCTCATCCTCGTCCTCTCCCGCCGTCCCCTCCCGACCGGTCTTCATAACCCATGGCAACACGTAGCCACCACCCTGCCATGCGCACAAGGCCAGTTTGAGATTGGTGGCAATCTCAACCAGCTGTGCAAGCTTGGCAAACCCAAGCTTGCAGCGCCTCGCCCTGTTGATGCGCTCGTGCTGCGCCCAGTTCCTCTCCGCTGGAGAGGCAGACTTCCACAAGTGCACAACACGGATGGCGATGGTGCGCAACTCCGGGTGGGCACGTCCATGGTCAAACCACCACGCCGCACAACGCTCGGTCTTGCGGTCCCCCTTGCAATCGTCCGCCTCGGCATCGGAGAGGGACCGATCTCCCCAATCTCCTCGCCTCGAGTGGAAGTGCCTCATCTGGTCCCTCACGGTCCTGTACAGTCTGCCGACCGAATCGTCGCCGGTCTGGGCCAGGAGAAATTTGTCGCACTCCTCGACCACACGGGCGTCATCGGCGCTCGTCTGTAACGTCTGGTAATACCTAAGGGACAGTCGACGAGGGTTGAGGAGGTGGGCCGCGACATGTGCGGGCTCTAGCTTGTGGAGGTTGCGGATGACAACCTCATGCACGCACGGCTCGATCATGTCCGCCGGCACATCGACCCTCCTCATCAACCGCAGCACATGCTGACTCCACTCGTAAATGATGGACATTATCATCCCCCCCTATCCATCCTGCGCAACAACTGGTGGATGGGTGCCATGACAAGGACGGCGTACTGGACACACCGCCAAAACTCCCCGTCCCGGATCTGCTGCTGCACCCACTGCGCCTGCGAGACAAGCCTGCGCTCCCACGGGATGCGTGCCCAAGCATCCCCATGCAACATGCTCTCCAACGCGTCTCGTCGGCCTTTGAGACACGTCAGCATCAGGAAAACCGATGCGAACTGTGTCTCGATGGGCTCGACGAGCTGAACGCGAGGGATCACCTTCCTAAACAGGGCGTGAGCAGCGCCGTGTGATTTAATAAATCGCACAAGCGCTCGAGCGCGGACGATGGTGTCTTTGACCCACCCCACTCGCGTCCCGATATCTGACAACATCAGGTTGCAGATATGGGTGGAGCAGGGGAGTCAAGTGATCCTCCTAATGTCGGGCTCTGGGTCCGTGGGGAATTTGCGCGTTGCCGCCGTATTGTTACTGGCGGAGTTTGTGCAGAAGCCGATCACGTCCTTTGAAGGAAAGGACAAGATGATGGCCCGCCACCTACGGTACACGATGTCCGCTGTATCTCAGACCGACCCGTCACGTGCGACGGTGGCGTAAAGCAGGGCGCCATTGGCGCCCCCGACGAGGAAGTTCACGAGCGGCTTGCCGCTGCGCGACTTCCTCCCGTCGGAGAGGATGGTGGCACCGGTGTGCCGGAAAGCGGCACGCACCTCGCTCACCATCGTCGCCACCTTCGCCCTCTGCGAAGGGATCCCCACGCCCGCTGTAACCCTGTAGGAGGGAAACCGGAACTGGATAGTGCGAGGCACTCTCTCTCCCGTGTGCCGCACCCTCTGGAACTCTAGACCACGGAAGGCGTTGAATGGCAACCCCTTCTCATAGATCCACAACAGCCACGCGTCTGTGAACTCGACCAACTTCTCCTTGTCGTACATCTCCTCAATCGTCGTCTGCCGAGCCCTCTTCTCGCTGCCCGTGTCTCGCACCTCGACGTCAGCCTCCCCCACTTCCCTCTTCTCCCTCCTTGCGCGCTCCAACTCAGGTCGCAACACCCTAGGAGCGGGACCCGCTCGACCAACACCTCTCGACGTTATCACCGCCTCCTCCCCTGGCAGGTCAGGCTGTCCGACTGCCTCGTCAGTCTCGTGTGCCACCCCCGCCTTCCCGATCCCACCCTCACGGCCCTCCTCCTCATCGAGGGCGTCCTGAATCTCATCCCTCTCTCCGTCGTCCATCCGCTATCGCTGGCCACCCACGGGCGCTCTTGTGTCCCGTATCCCCTCGTCCGCCATCCACCTCTGCACCCGCTGAGCAGTGGACGGCACGAATGTGTAGTCCGTGCCGTTCCAGAGTTTTGCGAGAGCTCTCATCCCCCCAGCCTTGCAGTACTTCGACTGCGTGAAATGGCGCGCGGCCTTCGACGACCCTCCCTGAAACAAGTGGCCGCATAAGTTGCAACGCAACTTTCGGTCCCCATGCATCTTCGACTGGTCCCCGATGTACTGCCCCGCGGTGACGAAGCTCCAAACCAAGTTCCCCCGCCTCAACTTCGCCATCTCCCTCTCGGACAGCGGGCTGAACTGGGCACCCCCAGACCCCCCCGCACCGCTGGTCCCTGCACCCCCCGTCATCGTCCCCCCACTCGAATCCAACAAGCCGTCGCGATGATCGTCGATGTCGTCGGACCGTGCCGTACCGTTGATGCAGTCCCTGACGTCCCCGCTGCCGCCACCGCCACGTCCCCCCGATGTCGTCGACGCCCGTGCTTTCCGCAGCCCCCGACCAGTCGGCCCCCCGCACAGTCGCGAACGGTACCGGCCGTGTTTGGCTGCTTACGGCCATGTTCAGCCTCGTTCGGCCCTGTTCGGCTGGGGTCGGCCCCAACCGGGCACTAAAACGGCCGCCGCGCTGGAAAAAGCCGCGCGCGGCGATGGCGACGATTGTCGGGCCGACGCTAGCCGATGGCGGCGCGCTGTCCCACGAGATCGCGCGGCGCGCGCCGCAGCCACCCGCGCAGCATAGGAAGAAGAAGAAGAAGAAGAAGAAGAAGAAGAAGAAGAAGAAGAAGAAGAAGATCTTTCTCTCTCTCTCTCTAGCGATATCTCCAGCGCAGCAGGTACGTAGTAAATCAATCTTGTCTCTCTCTCTCTCTCTCTCTCTCTCTCTCTCTCTCTCTCTCTCTCTCTCAGCGTGCGAGCAGACAGTTTGGCAGCATAACGGCAACAACAATAACTGTTGCTGTTTCAGATAAATGGCAGCATTTATCTGAAACGGCAACAGTTTTGTTGTGGCCTGGGCCTGGACCCACCGCCCTCCTCACACTACCCACACGGTGCCCCTCACCCGCTGGCACCGAAACAGGGCCAAGACGACCCATCGGGCCTTTTTTTTTTTTTTTTTTTTTGGTTGCATTTTTTTTTTCCTGCGCCGCGCAGAAGGTTCGACACGCCAAAAAAAAAATGGGCGTGTAGGGCTGAAAAGGGAAAAAAAATCATGTACCAAACTCGGCTGGTCAGCCTAGGCCGAACCGGGCCGATTCGGCCATCGGCCTAGGCCGCGGCCGATTTGGACCCCCCGGCCGCGGCCGGGCGTGCAACATAGTTGCTCAGAATAGAAAATACGAATTACGGATTAGGGATCAATTTTATCCAGAAAACACTTGCTCAGAAAATACGAATTTGAGATGAGAAATCCTGCTCAGAAAATACGAATTTCAGAATAAGAATCTTGCTCAGAATAGAAAATACGAATTTCGGATTAGGGATCAATTTTATCCAGAAAACACCTAAGATCTCATGAATCAGATGTTAAACAAATCACGCAAAACGAAATCGTTCAAAAATATCCTCTGAAAAAATTTCAGGAAAGCAACCACAACTCAGAAAAAATCAGGGGAAAAAAGTATGGCGCCTCCTCATCCCCTTGCCCGTATGCCCCCCACCCTCCTCCCCCCTATCTTACCACACACCCCATCTCCTACCGCACGCCACCATATCCCACCGTCCACCTCGTCGCCAACTCTCCCGTACTTACCCTTCTCTCGCCTCGCTTCCTTGTGTCGTCGCCCATCGCGTCTTCGCCCACCGCGTCGCCTGACTCTCCAGTAGATCTCGCGTCACACCGCTTTGTCTCCGAGATTGGTCCGACGGGGGCGCAGCGCTCCTGGTCGCACTGCGTTCCCTTTCCTACCAGCGAGACAAACAAGGTGATCAGATGGAGGGGGCAAACTTGTCTCCTTAGTCCTCACCTCTACCCCACTCCTTCTCGCCTCCATCGCCCATGCTTGACACACCGAACCCTGCGTTTCCTCATGCCTGGCCATTCGACAAGGCCCTCCTTCCGCCCTTCTCCCATTCCGACCGCCCGGACAAAGAGCAGTAAAGACAAGCCCACGACCACGCCGATGGAACTTACTAGGTTGCGATGCACGTTAAACCTGAGAGACAGAGGAGAAAACAGAGGTAAGAGAGAAGACAAAGAGGATATGTTAGGAGAGAGAACAAAGTCCACATCAAGTTCCTGCTCAGCTCCATGAGGGGTGCAAGGTAGTCGTATCGTCATTGTTGTTGTTGTTGATGATGTTCTTGTTGTGATTATTGCTGGTGCCGCAGTCGATGTTGCCGTTGTTGCTGTTGCTGTCGATAGTAATATCGTCGTTGATCTGTTGTCGTCGTTACTATCGTTGTGCTTGTTGTCACTGTCGATGCTGTTGTTGTTGTTGTTGATGATGATGATGTTGTTGACGTTGTTGTTAATGCTGTTGTTGTTGTTAACAACGTGGTCCTGTCCTCCTTATGGTATAAATCAGTCAATTGGGCATTAGACAAAAATGCCCTCCGCCCCTTGCAACGTCAGATAACCGCCTTTCTGTGGCGAGGAAACCACGAGAACCATAACGTCATCAGCAGAGTGGCATGGCAATCCATAATCCAACCGAAAGGCGGACTGGACATTATAGATCCCACAATACAAACTAAAGCATTAGCGCTACAGTGGCTCAAGAGGTTATTTTTCAACCCAGAAACCCCATGGAGGGGGTTGGCCTTAGAATAGATCTCTCGACTAGCACCACAAACATCAGAAGAGTGCGACCCACTGACGTGGATGGAGAACAGGGGATGGCCCATCCCAAAAAGAGGATCGAAGCAATGCGCTTTCTCTCCTATCTCACCCAGACAAGCAGTAAGGGAAGAACTACGAAATGACCTCTTCTGGTCTACCCTGCTGAGAACATGGAGAAGTCTCCTTGGGATTGCCCTACCAAACAAAATCCCTCTAGAAAGATGGGAAGAGGTGGTCCGGCAGCCCCTCTTTGGGAACAAATGGGTGGTGGACTCGAAGGGACAGACCCTCCATTGTGGAGACGCCCCTTGGCAAAGCTGGGTCAAGCGGAGAATAATAAGGATAAAAGATATATGGGACACAAAAAATAGAGAGTGGGTTAACCTGGGGCAGTTAAGGGAGAGATTACGCTACTGGCACTGGCTGGAGGAGTCCCTTGAGGCTCTAATACAAAAGATCCCCCTGGATTGGTGGAGGATTCTCAAGAAAGGCCCCTCATTGCAAGAATCGGACTGGGTGGCAATCAGAGGGAACGACCAGGGGAGGTGGGCAATATTGTGCACTGCGATACTAACGGAACAGTGATAGTGAACCTTTTTCAAGTGAGAAGGAACAATGTGATTTAGAGAACAGAATCAGAAGAAACAATAACATGCCACAAAGAAGAGTTATTCAGAATCAGGGTGCTCCATGAGAAAAAAACAACGGATTGCCTACCTCCCTCATGCCCCGGTTCACCAACTGGCCCTTGACCCGACAGAATGGATATGGACAGCACCAATAAGGAAGGGTAGGAAATTCACAAAATCCTTGTACGGCCTAATGGTCAAATCGACCTATAGGCTCCTTAGGCCAAGAATTAACCTTCGGGATCGGGTGGAGGAGCATTGGATAAAGCATTTGAACTTAAGCAAAGAAGACTTAACAATAATAAAGTGGTTCAAAATGGCAAAAGAAAAACTACAAAATTTGCCTCACTACAATGGCAGATAGAGCACCGTTGTCTACCGACTAACGACTGGCTCATAGACAAAACACATCTCGAGCAAGAGGGGAAAACCCTGCCCTGGTGTAGACTGTGCACGAACGCGTTCCCATCCAGGAAAGACCAAAGACTATTGAGCACATATTCCTTCAGTGCCCAGGAGCAATTTGGTTATGGAGATGGTGGGATAGAATCGGGGATCAACTAGAAACGCAAACTCCATGGCCGTGGGACTGGAAGGCGTTGCTCTGCGAGACTGTGAAAGCCTGGACCGAAGATAGGCTGGATGATTTCACCAGTAACATGTTCAAATTAGGACGCAGGGCGGTACTTTGGGCTCTCCGGCAACGACGCTGTACTTCTGAAATGGAACGATCAAGACTAGAGGGTCCAAAATTCACAGACAGCGTTCAACAACAGATCCAAACAGAAATCACTGCAAAATGGGAAGTGGTCAAAACTCAGATACTGACACTACACTCACGATATGAGATCCAACAAAGAATCCAGGAATTCAGCTCGAGCTGGCTGGGGGGGGACAAAGGGGGAAGGATAGGGAAACTTGACTGGAAAGGAGGGCAGGAAACAGGGGAGGGATTAGTAAGGGATTACGGGCTTCTATTCCATGAGTGGACAAAGATCGACATAGCTATCCCAATGAAACCCAGCCAAGAATTCCCCGATTTCTTCCCCTCTCCTTCAAACTGCCTAGTAGAATTAGAATGGTATGGGAGAGGTGGATGAAAGAAGGGAAAGGAACTGCAAGGGTTCAAGGTTCAGGTTTAAGGACTCGGCCCGAGCAGGGAGAGTAGGTAGGTAGCAATGTGAGAGGTCTGCAGAGAGGCCAAACAGGCACCTCCCATAAATCTGTCTCTTATACACATCTAGATGTGTATAAGAGACAGGTATGGGAGAGGTGGATGAAAGAAGGGAAAGGAACTGCAAGGGTTCAAGGTTCAGGTTTAAGGACTCGGCCCGAGCAGGGAGAGTAGGTAGGTAGCAATGTGAGAGGTCTGCAGAGAGGCCAAACAGGCACCTCCCATAAATAGTCAGATATGTTAGGTAACAGAAGTCTCCCGACTAGCCAATCTTCTGGATTTAAGCGGAGGGAACGGTGGGGGGAGGGAGGAAATAGTATGTAATCGTTAGTATTTGGCGCCGTTTTCATGGTGAAGAGGTCCCTCCCTCGCCCCAATATCCTGCTCAATCAATCCCTTGAATCTCGGGGTAATCAATGCTGGTAGGAGCCCTCCAC